GCTTTGGGGATCAAATGCAGGTACTCTTTGACCAACTCAAGTCAGAAAGACTTTCTCTTGTTTTTTCTTCTAAAATATTTATAATTTTATCTATGACATTAGGTCTATGGTCAATTTTGAGTTTGTGTATGACATTAGGTAAGGATCTAAGCTATTTTTGTTTTTTTTATTTGGGAATATCCAATTGTTTTAACATTATTTGTTGAAGACTGTTCTCTTCTCCATTGAATTATTTTGACATCTTTCCATTAGGTAAGGATCTAAGCTATTTTTTTTTTTTATTTGGGAATATCCATTTGTTTTAACATTATTTGTTGAAGACTGTTCTCTTCTCCATTGAATTATTTTGACATCTTTCTCAAAAATCAGTTTACTCTAAATGTAAGGATATATTTCTGGATAATCAATCTGTTGCATTGATCTATATGTCTATTCTCACATTAATAGTTTAAGGTTTTGTGGCCTTATAGAAAATTTTGATATTGGAGAGGGTAAGTCCTAAAACTTCATTCTTCTTTTTCAAAATTATTTTCAAATTCTATTTCAATTCTATTTCAAAACAATTTTATTCTAGGTCAATTGTTCTCAATTGGGACTAATTTTAAAACGCCCTACCCTTCCCAGGGTACATTTGGACTATGCTACTGGCATTCAGTGAGTACAAGACAAAGATGTCACTAATCCTCCTACAATGCACAGGTCAGCCCCTCACGACAAAAAATTATCTGGGCTAGTATTGCCGTAGTGCCAATGTTGAGAAATTCTGTCCTAGTTCTTTTGAATTTTCCATAAAAATTTTGGGATCTTCTTGTTAAGATCTATTAAAAAGCCTGCTGGTACTTTGAAAGGTGTGTGGAATTTAAAAAAGCAATTTGGGGAATATTGTCATCTTAATATCAAATCTCTCCATTTGCTTAATTAAAAAAAAAAAACTCTATTAGCAATACTTTTGTAGTTTCAGCACTCTAGTCTTTTGATTATTTTCTTGAATTTATTTTTATGTATTTGAATTGATTCTTTTTGATTCTATTATAATAAATGTATAAATATATTATAAATAAATTTTTCATTACTGTAATTAAAAATAAAATAGATTTTATATTGGTCTTAAATTCTTCTATATTGCTAAACTCCTTTTTTTAGTTTTAGTAGTTGTGTGTTGTGTATGTGTGTGTGTTTTCCTTGCGACTGTCTACATATGGATTATGCCATCTGAAAATAAGTGCAGTTTTACTTCTTTTTTATTCTGGATATTTTATTTCTTTTTATTTTCCCCTTTTCTTTGCTACCTTCCCTCTCTCTCTCTCTCCCCCCTCCCTCCCTTCCTCCCTACCTCCTTCCATCCCTCCTCCCTCCCTCCCTCCCCTCTTTTTTTTTTTTTTTTTTTTACTGACC